ACCAGCCAATCTTTCTAACATTTGATCAATAAAGGGCAACAGAAAGTGATCTTTTCTGGTGGCTAAATTAAGTCTCCTATAATCAATGCATACCCTCCAACCAGTGACGGTACGCGTAGGAATCAACTCATTCTTGTCATTAGTCACCACAATTGTACCTCCTTTATTAGGCACCTCGTGAACAGGGCTCACCCATGAACTGTCTGATATAGGATAGATAAGCCCAGCATCCAATAATTTTACCACTTCCTTTCTTACGACCTCCTTCATAACGGGGTTCAGTCTTTGCTGGGGCTGCACAACCGGTTTATGGTCCTTCTCCATAAGGATTTTGTGCATGCAAACTGTAGGACTTATACCCTTTAAGTCTTCGATTTTCCAACCAATAACACTCTTAAATTTTTTAAGAACCCCAATCAGTTGTTTCTCTTGGACACTTTTCAAACTAGAGCTGATAATGGCGGGACACGTTTCCTCGGTGTCTAGAAACACATATTTGAGATTTTCCGGCAGTTGTTTCAATTCCGAACCTTTAGGTTTTTCGTCATTACCCTCCAGCGCTATAGGTTGCCGTAAGTCCTCCCATCGGTGTGGTCGGGATCCCCTTTGGAATGGTCGAGTGTCCAACATTTCGACTACCTCTCTGTCATTCTCATCTACTTCTGTGTCTTCCTTAAAGATTGACATGCTTAGCACTCTCTCCAGGGGTAGTTGGGTCACACTCTCCAAATGTTCGCTCTCTACGACCTGTTCTAGCACTTGTATGTTGCTACTGGTGCCCCGATCCTGTTTATGCTTTATGGTATTACTAACATCAATTTTTAACTCCTCGTCATATACTTTCAAGGTCAGGGTGCCGCCTTCCATATCTATCATGACTCTCCCGGTTTCCAAGAATGGTCGGCCCAAAATTAACGGCATTTCTTCATCTTCCGGCATCTCTAGGATCACAAAATCAACCGGAAACACAAATTTATCTACCTTAACTAGTACATCTTGAACCACTCCATATGGCCGCTTAACTGAATGATCAGCAAACTGGAGGGTCATCCGAGTGTCTTGAACCGCACCGATATCCAACTTTTTGTTGATGGACAAGGGCATGAGGCTAATACTTGCTCCCAAATCAATTAAAGCTCTGTTGAATGACCTATCGCCAATAGTTCATGGGATAGTAACAGCTCCACTGTCTTTCTTCTTGACCGGAATCTTCAGACCCTGCAAAATAGCACTACAAGTTTCCGTTAGAATAACAGGTTCGGACTCACTAGTCCGCTTCTTAGCAATGATGTCCTTCATGAATTTTGCATAGGTGGGCATTTGTTCTAGTGCCTCCAACAACGGAATGTTCAGCTCCAACTTTTTAAACAGCTCCAGGAACTTCTCGAAATTCTTCTCTTGCTGTCCTTTCTTTTTATTTCTTGAGGGATATGGCAGCTTGATCACCGGTTTCGGTTCTACCACTTTTTCTTTAGTTACCGGTACCGGTGTCACCACTTCTTCCTCGACTATTTCATTCTCTTTAATTTCCAGCTCCACTTCAATCATCTGATCATTCAGTTCCGTTTCCTCTTTTCCTACTTCCTTGGCTTTTCCACTTCTTGTTACTACCGCCTTAATTTGGTGGTGATCCTTCGGATTTGGTATGGTGGCACTTGGAAGTGTACCCGGCGCTTGTGAACTTGCTAGCTGTTGGGCAATTTGACTCATTTGTACTTCAAGATTCTTTATGGATGCTCCAGCATTCCTGAAGTTACTCCTTGTCTCTTCTTTAAATTGAGAACTTTGGGCTGCCATTTTCTCAATGGCCACTTCCCAATCAGCTTTTCGAGGCGCTTGTGGTTGATATTGAGGTTGGTACGGTGTCTGCTGGTACTGCTGTGGCTGAGGTTGATACGGTTGTTGACCTTGAACAGGTTTTTGCACATTACCTTGTTGATCTTTCCATGAAAAGTTTGGGTGATTCTTCCAACCAGGATTATATGTGTTGGCGTAAGGATTGTTCTGCCTCAACATATTAATCTGTTCCACTTGCTCTTGAGTTGCTACACAATGCATTGTAAAGTGTGGCCCACCGCATATTTCACAAGGTGCTGCTTGAACTGGCTCAACCTGTGCCACTACCTGAGTTTCAACATTCATTTTCTTTAACCTTCTCTCTACCTCAGCGGTGATCTGATCCTCCATTTTAACAACCTGGTCTGCCAGCTTCAGATCAATCTTACCTTCCGGTTGGTTGATCGTGCGATCATACAACTCAAGGTGCTCGTTCGCGGCAATTGCTTCTATGATCCTTCTGATACTTGTGGCCATTGAGAAGTTGGTTGAGCCACCGACAGCAGTATCTATGAGCTGTTTCGTTTTGAGTCGTAATCCATTCACAAAGTTTTGCATCTGCTCCGTGGCGTCCATGTTATGAGTAGGACATGCTGTAAGATACCTCTTAAACCGCTTATATGCATCCCCTAAATATTCTCCTTCTTTTTGCTTGAAGTTGACAATGTCGTATCTTTTTCGGATGAACACTGAGGCAGGGAAATACTCATTCAGGAACGCAGTTTCCATCTCTTGCCATGTTGTGATACTCCCAGCGGGAAGCGAGTAAAACCATTCTTCCGCATCATCAGTGAGTGTGAACAGGAACATAACTAATCTCTTGGCCTCTTCGGAATGTCCTTTTATTTTCAGCGAGGTGGTGGTTGTGAGGAATCTCTGAAGATGTTTATTTGCATCTTCGTTGATTCTTCCGGCGAACGGCTTGCTCTCCAACTGACGGATGGTGGAAGGGTGTAGCTGAAAATGCGCAGCATTCACCGGTTGATTCACAATGGTCATCCGGTTCGGTTGAGCATTGGCCCCTCCATAGTCTCCTAGCAGTCTTTCAGGCTGAGGTGGATTTCCAGCCATTTGAACAGTCTCAGGTGTTGTCTCTCTCTCTTCGGAGTCGCTCTGCACGGATATAATTTCCTCTATTTCTTCCAGTCTTTTAACTTTAGCTAATCTCCGTCTTTCGTGTAATGCTCGTTCTGGTTCTGTATCAAAAGAATATTTAGCTGAGGCCTGACCTCGCATACACAATTAGACGAGCGTTAGATAATAAGCGGATAAAAGTTATGCAGTAAACAATAAAATTTTAGTCGCAGAGCAACAAAATTTCTTTTGGATTCTAAAAACAATGTTAATTTGGCAGTCCCCGGCAACGGCGCCAAAAACTTGATCGGGAAAATAGCAAGTGTACTATTTTTACCAATTGTAGTAATAAGGGAAAAGTCCCAAGTATCGATCTCGAGGACTGCGTAGTAATTAACGGGATTTTTAGGATTCAAATGAACAAAAGGTCTAGTTGTTTGTTTGGTAGCAGAGTAATATAGCAAGTAAATACGGACTTAATGAATCAATCTAGGAACAGTGTTAGGGGAGTGGAGACGATGCGAGTAAAGACCCTGTATGATTATTCTACTCTACTAGTTATTAACCTTAATTTATCAGTTGGCCACTTTAGTTGCCTTAATTCCTTAATGAAAACCCTTTGATGATTTTCCTGTACACTAATTCCTCAGTGTCCCTGAAAAGCATCAAGCAATAGTTCCGACCATAAAATACGTGATACGGGATATCCTCATTCCTAAGCAATATCGACCGTGATACTATTTTGCAAAAGTGTTAGGTTGACTTTCCAGACTAACGCCTAAGCACGATTCGAATTCTACTTTCCAATATGAATACGAGTAAGATTAATGCAAAATAAAATATATTAAGGTAAAAACATAGGTCTCATAGAATAATTAAACAAACGTCATTACATCGCACTTAGGACCACCCCCTAACAACTTGGGGTTTAGCTGCTCATGTTCTTCGTAAACATAAAAGTAATTAGAATTAAAAAGGAGAAGATCATTACAATGCAAGTTGAAATCCTTGGATCATCAATTGCTTCCGCTCTTGATCGATCCTCTGTTTCCAGCCGAACTCTCCTCTCAGTTGTCAATCCTAATATCAATTCAAAAGTGTCCCCTACTTTCTAAAATGTGCCTCTTATATCTAAATTCAAATTACATCGCGAAATGTCTCAAATGCCCTTCAAAATAGGTCTGACAGCAAAAAATCAGAAAACAGAGAAAATACACGTTCAGTGGCCCTGACTTCTTCAGGGCGTGTTCCTCTCCAAGGGCTGCAACACGGGCCGTGTTGCATGACACGGGCACCCGTGTTGCAAGTCTGAGTCTTCTTTTTTTCTTCTGCTTTGGTCCACCCGTGTCTGCCAGCCGTGTCCTTCATGACACGGGCCGTGTTGTGCAACACGGGTACCCGTGTTGCAGCTCTGAGTTCCCTTTTTCGACTTTTCTTTGCCTCCGAATGCGGTGCGATTGTCGTGCTATCCATTCCTGCCAAAAACACACTAAAAGAAACCAAATCAAAAGCACCAGCGGCAAAAGCAACATAAACTTAAACATAAGACTCGAAGACACACAACTACGATTAATGCAGATAATAACAACTAAAGCTTCGAAAAATAGATAAAAACATTGCGAAATTAACCACAAACAGCGTTTGAAAACACAACTGAAATCCACCGATCAGGGAGGCACCCTTTAGAGAACCCTATTTTTTTGCATAATGTTATTCTTGGTGACCACATCCACATTACCAAAATACACTTTACACTTGTTAGGATTAACCACCAGACCTGTAGCAGCAAAGAACTCCTTGAAAATATCCATGATCAACTCCACTAATCCAACATCACCTCTCAGAAACAGAAGAAGGTCATCTGCAAAGCTGACATTTATAATTTGGAGTTTCTCACATTTTGAGTGATAATTGAAATTATGATTAGTGCTCAGGCTGTGCAGTCTTCTACGTAAATATTCCATCATGATCACAAAGAGCAAGGGGGGAAAAGGATCCCCTTGTCTCAACCCTCTTTTAGCCTTGAGAAGCTTAGAAAGCTTTCCATTAACATTGTATTTGTAGGACACTGAAGTTAAAGTGGCCATAGTCTAGTTGATGAATTTTTGAGGGAAACTCATCTCCTTCATGATAGCTTCAAGGGCACACCATTCAATTGTGTCATTTGCTTTCTGTAGACCCATTTGGATCATGCATCTAGGAGGAGCACCATTGGTGTTATACCCTTTGATCAGCTCAAAAGCCAACAGGATATGGTCTTGGATATGGTTGCCTGGAACAAAGGCAGCTTGGCTGTTATCTATGATACTGTTAAGAACTTTGCTAAGCCTGTTGGCCATAATCTTGGATATCACCTTGTAAAGAGTAGTACAACAAGATATGGGGCGATAATCTTTGATCATGGTGGCATTGTTCACTTTGGGGATGAGAGTCACAAGAGTACAATTCATGGCATTAAGCAGGCAGCTAGATCCAAAGAATTCCCTAACTGCTTTCCCCAAATCCTCCTTGATAATATCCCAAGACGCTTTGAAAAACTTAGCTCCAAACCCATCAATCCCTGGAGCAGTATTGTCATGGATCCCATATAAAGCAGTTTTGATTTTAGCATCAAAGATGGAACAGGACAAGGCATCTCTTTGGTCATTGTTCAATTGGGGGCCATTCCTCAAATCCACCAAGTTAATACTTTTCAATTTGCCAACTGACTTACCAACTAAGTCTTTGTAGAACTTCAAGATCTCCTCTTCAATTTTCTGGTGGTCAGTTTGGATAACTCCCTCACTGTCCATTATAGACTGAAATTGGGATCTTTGTTTTTTTTTTTGCTTCAAGGAGGCATGAAAAAAATGGTTGATACCATCCCCATTTTTATCCAGTTGACTTTAGCTCTTTGATACAAAAGTTGTTCCTCAAGATTGTTCAGTCTGATGACCTCTTCAGAAAGCCTCTTAGTTTTCTCAATAATGTCACAATTAAACCCGTCCTTCACCAACATATCCTGAGATTTTTCCAGATCCAGCCTGGCTTTATGCAATTGCTCCTTAATGCCTTTAAAGGGTTTGCTAATCTCTCTGACAGTATGCCTCACATTACTAAGTTTTTTCCACATCACATATATGGAAGTCCCATTAATATGGTTATTCCAATTGGCTATAATAGCTACATGCAACCCCTCCACCTTGGCCACATCATTATGAAATTTGAATTTGCCGCTTCTAGTCTGCACTCTTTGCACTATATCAAGACAGAGTAAGGCATGATCAGACACTCCAACATCCATAATTTTGAGAGTTGTACCAAGATTGTTCTGAATCCATAACATGTTGCCAAGCACTCTATCAATTCTAGAGTAAATAGCCCCCTTTTCATGCTTGTTAAACCAAGTGAAGTGGTCACCTTCACTATCTTTTTCATAAAGCCCATTCCTTTCCATCAAAGATATAAGGTCAGTATATTCATACTTCATGACCTCTCTTTTACCAGTTCTATCTAAAGTGCTACAAACATTGTTGAAATCTCCTATTATCATTCATTCCCCATTGACTGGAAGATCATCTATATCTATCCATAACTTTTTCATATCTTCCAATTTATTAGAACCATAAACAGCTGTACACATGAATTTCCTTTTATCATGCATGGGCACCACCTCAAGGTGAATAAACTGAGCATAACAGTTGAGCTTTTTCACAAGAACCCTACTGTCATTCCACAACCCCCAAATTCTACCATTACTATAGTTCTCATAGTTGTCTAAGAAACTCCAATAAGGTCCCATCTTATTCCTAATGGCAGAAGCCTTATTCTCTTTCACTCTAGCTTCAATAAGAACAGCTAAGGCAGGATTAAGGTTGTTAATTCTAGTCATCACCTCTTTGCTTTTTCCTACATTATTGATACCTCTCACATTCCACGATATAATCATGGGATCCCTTCTTGAACACTTGGATCATCCCAAATCCCAAGTGTTGCAAATTCATTGTGACAATCTACACTTTTCCTATTATCAATAGATATAGCCTTACCTTTGTTCTTCTTTGTGACTGATACATGAGTCTAAGAGGAGATAGCAATGTTGACATTCTCCTTTGGTGTAGAGTTATCTTTTCCCCCTGGTCCACCATCTCTGGAGCTTGCTTTTGGACAATTTCGTTCACTGTGGCAACTTTTGGTTTCCACTGTTTAAAAGCACTAGGTTTCTCATTGGAGCACAAATGACCTTTTTTTTTGGTATTTCTCATAATACTTGGGCTTCCACTCATATTCCACCATTTGAGTAAACTTCTTGCCTTCACAATCTTTGATAGTAATGGTTTCCTTGAGCTTTTGAGTAACATCAACCTCAACAAGAATCCTAGCATAGGATACTCTAAGTTTGTTTGTTGTACACTCATCGGTGAATAGAGGCTTACCTATAGCACTCCCTATATCGATTAACACCATATCTCGATCCGCCAAAGAGTGAAATTTAAGCAAGAAATATCCTTCCTCATGGTAAAACATATCCGGAAGCTTAACAAATTTCCAGAATTTACTCATGAACTGTTTGACGGCGTTCATGATAAGATCTTTACCCAACGCATACATAATCAGAGCTGATTCCCAAAATTTCACTTCGGATTCACATCTGCTTATTCTATTTCCACTTCTACTTCTCCTTCCACCAAATTGGGGGCGATAAACTCAATCGCCATGCCATTGGAAGAAATTCTATTACCACTGATGATGTCCACCCACAATTTCTTTGGTTGCTTATCAATCTCTTGCTCCACTTTAGGTGTTTCATTAAGTGTAGGTGTTGGCTTCAAAGAATCCTCTTTAACACTCAGGCCTGCTTCATGTTCATCCCGAACACTACTTCTCGCGGTCATAGAGTTGCTTCCACTTTCTGCCCCTTTTTCAATTTCCAAAGTACGGACAAAGGTGTAATATCCCAAATTTTACCTTTAGATTAATAGTTTCATTTCGCATTTCATCTCATTTTGCATTGCATTGTAACTAACAGCTAACTAGTTTGCTCAGTCCGTTGGTTTTACAGAAAAAATCACATTGGATGCAGTGTAATTGGTGAAGGGCAAAACGGCCATTTATTTGCAGCTGCTGACAATTTATGAAGCTGAGTTGTCGTCATAAATTTCTCGTGACTAGGGTTTCCCTCTCCGAGTTCTGTGATTTATCTGAAAGAGAGCTGGATTTTGCAGTAGTAATCGAAACTTAGCCGGACAATTTAATCAGATGGGGTTATGCAAGGAATTTGAACTAGTTGAATTGAGGCAGAGGGTTTTGATTGGAAGAGTTTAATCGTGTAAGTTAAATTAATTGAATTTAGTTGGAGGATTGGAGCCGGATAAATTTAATCAATTTAATTCGTTTGGATGAAGTTGATCGGAAGAGTTTGGTCATTTGAGTTTAATCGAACATATTGGATTTAATCAAATTGAATTTTTTGGGATGAAGTTGAATTGGAATATTTTAGTCATTTGCGGTTAATCGACCAAGATTGGATTTATTCATATGAGATTATTCATTCAAGTTACTAGAAGAGTTATTCGAGAATTTTATCGGAGATGAGATTTAATCGGATGAATTGGATTGAGAATTTCGAATTAATAAAAAATAGAATTTTTATTTTATTAGTTTGGTTGCCATATCTAAATAATGAAATATAATTTTATTTATAGATTTATTTCATTATAATGTAAAAAAAAATGAATAAATTTATTTCATTATAATATCCAAAAAATGAATAGATTTATTTCATTACAATATCAAAAAATGAATAAATTTATAAATTAAATTACATTTTCTTGTTCTAAAATCTTAAATTTCTAAAAATTCTTAATTTGTCCTAAAGTGTCTTCAAAGCCGACTTCTTCAAGTTTCCGATCTTTTCTTTCGAACCTGCAAAATGAATCAACAACATAGCATAAATGATTAAAGGTTAGAAAAATGTTTTTCGGTCCCGATACCCTCAGTTTGGTTTCATCATCGGGTACGTCGGGAGGGCAACAACAAAGTCGAAGTCATCTCCTGACTTATTTTCCGACCTCGGCAAATCCGGCAACATCTGTTCTTTTTTGTTCCAAGAGAGAGAAAAAGTGATTTTTTTAAAGAAAGTGATTCTGAAAATAAGTGCTTCTGGAAAAAGCACTTATTTCTGGAAAAATGGTTTTGCCAAACGGGGCCTTAACAACATTTCTCCAAGTTACTGAACCCAATGGATCAAGCAACAAGCCAACAAAGTTCCTTGCGACAAACTCGGTCAAACAAATCCAACAAACGAGTTCCAAAACCATTAAACAACATTTCCACAAAAAACGCACAATTCCTGAGAGGGAAAACTCAACAAAATGTGGAATTAGCACCAACAAGTTCCAAAAGTCCAACACCAAGTGAGTCAAGGCAAGCCGTAAGAAACTCCATGAAATTCGCAACTCCCAGCAACCAATAAAGCATCATTTTCGCAACAAAACCAATGGGTCAAGCAAGCCCATAAAGCTCAAATCAATATATAAGAAACATGAAGAACAATAAAAGGGGGGAGTTTCAAGCGAAAAAGATTCAGAAAACTTTAAAGGTTCACCATCATCAAGAACTTCTGGGAGATTTTGGGAAGAACCTTCAAAGCTTCATCATCAAGATCAACGGACCACAACCGCCGGCCACCATCACCACCGCGAACTCAGACGGGAGTTCTACTCACCATCATCATCGTTCGACCATCCGTCACAGTTAGAACCCACCAAAGCCATCAAAGACGAACCCGCGAATCCGGAAAGGGTCCGAAGGAGCTCTAGGGAAACCCCAAAGCTCAACCTCAAACCACCTCCAACTCACGGCCAGAATCAGAGGGAGATATCCCATCATCATCATCCGGCGAAGCCCGCTCCGTCCAAGACCAAGCCAACGGTGAGACTCACATATATTTTACCCATTTTTGCGTTGTTTTTTGCAGTAAAAGAGAAGGAAGAAGACATCGAGGAAGGGAGATCGGGCCATGCAAAGAAGAAGAAAAAGTGAAAAGCTTAACGGGCCAACAAGGGAGGAAAGGGATGTCGCGCCGCAGCTCTGGGGAAGAAGAAGAGAAAAATAAACCCTAGAATGCTCAGTCAATTATCCCTCCCCCTTTTATTTCGTGGCACTTTGGTTTTTCCTTTTCTTTTTTTTAGATTTTTTAGTTTATTTTATTTTATTAAAATTCTGTAAGTAAATTTAGTTTTATAACCAAAACTTATAATTAAACTTATACTTAACACTCAATCAAAACCATTTTCAAAAAAAAACTCAATTAAAAGCATTAGTTTAGAAGTTAATTTTCTTTAATTAAAAGATTATTCTTTTTATAATTTAAAATTAACACCTCTTATATTAAAATAAATCTAATCATTAAGATTAACTTTTTATTAAAAAATAAAAATTTAATTCTTTTTAAAACTAACCATCAACCCTTTTTTAAATTTAAAATCCTAATGAAAATCCTTTCTAAAATGAAAAAATCTTAAAACTTTTATTTTAACCTTGTTAATTTTCAATTTCTAACGCTTTTGTCTTTAATTCTTAATTTCTAGCTGAATTTCGTCCCGTGCAATTTTCATTTAAAATATAACGTGCTTGATATTGTTTTTTCAGTTGTACAGTTTATTAATCATGTACTTGTTCACTTCATCTTATGGTTGTAATTTACGCGAGTATATCGTCGCTTTGCACTTCCTTTACTTTTCGCATTTTATTTTCATTTTTTTTGGGTTTGTAATTTACGCGAGTGATCGTCGCTTTGCATATTTTTCAT